GTCACTTGCTCAAGTCTTTTCTGTCCTGGGCATCCTGCCAGCCCCCCTTTTCTATGGTCCATGCAAAACCAATTACAAGTCTTTTTCTTTTCTGGGTGTCTTGCTCAGGCCCATGCAAAACCAATTACAAGTCTTTTTCCATGCGTATTCATTGGTAGATGGTACACCTTCCCCCCACTCAAAACGCGATGTCCCCATTGCGCGACTGGTTTTCACTCGGAGGTACGCAGACCTTTGGCCCACCAACCGCAAGTCAAGGACACAAGCCCACCCGCTTCACAAAAGGAAGAGTGGTCAGTTCTTCCCCAGCGGACGACGCCTCATCCTTCTACCCGGTCCGACCTTTCTTCTCTTGTGCGGCGAACACCAATACTGAGGTTCCTCCTTACTTCCGGCAGGCAGGTCCAATCCGAGCCTTTCAGGGCCTCGTCTAGCCGTAAGAGCGTTCCACGCGAATCGTTCCTCCCGAGTGGTAATTTTCTGGATTCCGGCCTCTTCCTTTCAAGAGAGTTGAGGCTCTCTATTAGTCCGCGAGTGCAGTTACGAAGACCTCGCAATTAGTCCGGAAACGGTTGTAATGTTCCGGCAGGGCAGTGTCAATGCCCCGTGGTGGTGGCGGACTCCACCCGGTACCTCGCCAGGCCCCTCCCCTTGGATAGTGCCACCCAACTTAGTGCAGGCAGCGGAGGTCCGGCCCAAACGGCCATGGCACCCCTCTATGACATGGCGTGTGGTTGGAGAGGACAAAATAGACTAGATGAGAATAGCTTCCTTGCCCATTTGGCTCTCTCGCCCTTTGACGTTTAGGCATTCAACCTGAGATGCATTTTGAACTTCCCGACTAGAGGTCATTGTCAGGGTCAGTTCCGGACGTCCCGCACCGATCCAAGCGGTAGGTGTCTTAGTCCTTTAACCCTCTTCCTCTTAAAGGAGGAGCAGGTCGCGCTGAGACTTTTTCCCTCAAAGGGATAGAGGTCTTGGGGTTGCGATGCGTGCACCGGTATCCCCCTCTCGCTGAGGCCAAAGACTAGAAGAAAAGAGAAATCTATTTCAATGCTGTTTCCAAATCCATTTCAAGTTGCCTAGGGTCCCCTGTTTATGCAATGCAATTTTCAATACTCAATCCAATTCCAATATTTAGTCTCATTCCCATGCTCATCTCAGTCCAGTGCTCAACGCAATATCTCTTCCAGGGCTGAGTCCAATATCTTTTCCAAGGCTGAGTCCAATATCTTTTCCAAGCTCAATATTTGCAATGTCTTTTTCCAAGGCTCAACTCTTTCAATATCTAAAACTGAACTCTTCCCATATCTTTTCCAAAGCTCAGCTCTTCCCATATCATGCATCTGAAGCAGCCATGCAATGGGACCCCAGTGCCAATTCCAAAGAATGACCCTTGTGAGAGGTCATTCCGAACAACCTGGTTAGGGTCGTTCTTTCCAATTCCAAGTCGAACAGCTTGGTTAGGGCCATTCTTATCCATTGCAATCGGACAGCCTCGTTAGGACCATCCTTATCCATTCCAATTGGACAACCTGGTTAGGGTCATCCTTGTCCGTTTCAGTTGGACAGCCTGGTTAGGGCCATCCTTGTCCATTGCAATGTTAGCGCGCGAGGGGGTGGGCCTCGATGACACATATCCTATCTCGTCTCGGGGGTTAGAAGGCGGCCATCCTCTTGGGTTTTCACGCATGGTTCTTCCTCCTTATACCATACCACTTGCCATCCTTATGTCCATTTATACATCCGACTTAGCGTCTAGTACTCGAGTTAAGGGTCGTAACCTCAAGCAACATTAGCCCGCCCGACCGTTCAACCATTGCGAAGGGTGTGTGTCCTCACTATTTTCTCTTTCTCTGAAGTCTCATACATCTTGCTGTTCTGGACTGGTGTAGGACCGGTTGGATTAGGCTCATGGGGAAGAGGGTTCTTCATGCCTCTTTACCCATAGGTCCCCTAACCTCTCACAAAAACACATGTCATGACTCATTCGACCATGAGTACACAATTCACAAAAAGGAACTCTTCTGCCACCGACTTTTTCTTCCAGTCTCTAATAATTCGCATACCCTCGCCCATTTCCCAAAACAAAGCCAATCGTTCCTCATTTCCTTATTAATGCCCATATTTCCCAAAGGAGCGAGTACTCATACAAAGTAGCACCGGCTACCCAAACCCAACTGACTTCCCCAGTTTCAGGGGCTGTTCTGTCATAGTTTTCTTCAAAAGGAAGGAGACAAAATTTGAATGTGAAAGCAACATTACAGGCTTGTCTCATCTAAACCCCAATCCCTCATAGTTCCAGTCTCACGTGCAGTGACCCCCATGCCCTTATGAAGGAGCAACTACTTGTTAAGAGTAGTACCAGATACTTAGTTCTAAACTTACTTCAAAATAGGCCTTACGCCGTTGTCGTTTGCTTCCAGAGAGTTCAACTGCAAAACATTCAAAATGGCAGCTTTGCCTGCCCAATTCCCAGTCCTCCCCAGTTTCTAACTAATCCCTGTTATGACCATTCCCCTTTCTACTGCCCAGTCGCCCTACGTCGAGCCTCCCTTGCACGAGCCTCAATCTCTTGTTGCATTAGCCTCTTTGACCTCTGTAGGCCAAGAAGCTCGTCCTCCGTGAAGAAAGTAGTTGGAGATATGTCCTCCCCCCAGCTAAACTTTTGCATGCCTTTTATTGCCCATTCATATCGTAGGATGCTGGCCCATTGGTCGAACTAGTCAGTAAAAGACGGCCCAAACTCTCTTATCCATTTGTCATTTTCTTCCCCCGGGTCGTCCTCCCTACCCCGTACTTCCCTTGTAGGTGTCGTCACTTTTTCCTCTTCCTCCTCGTTGCTGAGGTCTATGACTTCAATGGACTCCTCCTCCTCCATCCACTGCCTCTTTCCTGGGTTCCCTTCCTCCTCACTGCTAGTGTCACTTTCTGATGGGAGGATTATTGGCTCCCCCTCCCTTGGTGGTGACGGTCCCCTGGTCCCTTGCTTTCTGCCCCCCCTATTCACAACCAGATTGTGATCAAATCCCACATACAACTTCCTTTTCCTGGAGCTTGACTCTCCAGCCTATCTTGATGACTGTCCCTCAGTAGGCCTGTTGAAAACGTTGCTGTCGTTTTTCATTTCCAAACTCCATTTTGCTGATTTCTTGCTGTTTTCTTCTTGCCTGGTCTTGTCCATGCATAACAGTCACCGCAACCCCTCATACATACACATTCCCTCCCATTCCCATTTGCAGATTTGCAGGCCCTCCCAGGACCCTTGCTTGCCCCCATGTAGTTCGCGGTCTCATCATCCCTTAGGCACATCGTTCCCCTCATAGGCACCTCATGTAAGCAGTCCCCAGAATTGCCCCACCATACTATGGTACATTGTCCAGGCTTCCATCCTCATTCATAGTCAGCCCAGACAGTCTCCCCATTTTTCACAGAAATTACGACACACAAACGAACAATCTCTGTGGTCATGATCACTTCCACAGAGAGGCAATCCAGAACTATAGCCAACTGCGTGCCTTTCAAGCTGTCACTTCCCCTGTTTCCTTGTCATGGGCTTCTTGTACCCATTGTTCCACAGGATCCCTGCTCAAAAACCTGACCAGCCTCTGTCCCGGAAATGGTCCTTTTATACTAGTACCATCAAGATCCTCAAGTTCGAACGTGTTCAATTCCACGTGCTTAGCGATCCTGTAGGGCCCTTTGAACCTCTTCCCCAGCTGCCCAGACCACGTGCTCTCAAGGGCCGAGTTCCTAACTAGCACATTTTCCCCTACTTTCACCTGGTCCCATCTTGCTTTGTCCCTCATTCGGTTATCCATCACGCGCTTGACCACTTCTTCCAAGGCTTCCTCATTTCTAACGATTTGCTGGCATCGTGCGACAATTAATTCTTCAGTAGACAGGCGTGGATTGTCATCTAGCCTGTTCGAGGTGGGGACTAAGGCTTCCATCGGAAAATCAATCTCCCTCCCATACCAATGTTCTGCCGGAATGCATCCTGTCGTCCTTTTCGGTGTCATGTTCTCTGAGAACAATGCCTGCTTAAGGAACCGTGGCCAGTTTCCCAAATCATCCACTGTCAGTTTGACGATTGTGTTCTTCAAAGTCTGGTGCCCCCTTTCTACCGGTGCGTTTGCCTCAAGGTGATTTGGTTCAATGATCTTGATGGGTACGCACAAGGTCTTAAGCCTGCTCAATACCTCCTGATTGACGAACTCCATCTCATTGTCTGCTATGAACCTGCGTACAAAGGGGTGTCTTAGGTAGAAATCCTCTATCCAATCGGCCACTCCCTTCCCTGTCTTTCTCTTGAGTGCTACTGCCTCTACGTAGCCACCGAGGATGTATCTATATCCATCCGTTGACACTGGCATAACCGCAAGATCGAGGTGGACTAAGTGCCCCGACCCTAGTACCCGAGTAGGTCTAAGGGGCTCGAAGACACGTGCAGAACTCCTTTCCTGGCATATCAGGCATGTCTGGCAGTGCGTTGCCACCATACCTGCCATTCCTGGCCAGTAGTAGAGTGGTGCAATTTTTGCAAGGGTCCATTTGGATGACCTATGACCTCCAGCTAGTCCATCGTGCATTGCCTGGATTATGTCTAACTGCCTAGACCTTCCGCACACGACTCGTCTAGGCATTATCCTCTCTTCCTTCTTGAACACGTGGCCGTTCCTTAGAACATACTTTTCGGTTTCCTCCCTTGCCTTGAGGTTGACTTCCGTGGGCTGCTTGTTTCCTACGAGCAGTAGGCCGATTTCCCTGAAGACGCCCTCATACATCTGTATGAGAAAAAATTATCGTTCGTTCTGGTCGGTATCTTGCTCCCCTTGAGCCTGATTCACCAGATATTGCAGTTCCCTTTGCGTCCAGGATTCTTTTAAGGTCATCACGGAGTTCCGTCCTCTTTCAACGGCCATTGCCATCAGTTCCTCTTTAGGCCCAATCACTGCACCCCACGAATCTCTCTCGTCTCAGTGCCTAAACGTAGTAACCGGTCCTTCCTTGAGTTCCGCAACTACCACAGACGCGCCCTTTTTCAAGGTCTGGATCAGCAACTGACCCGTCGTGGCTATGGAGTCTGCCATCTCGTTATCCACAGCAAGGGTCCCTCCTTCGTATTCCAGGAAGGCGTCAATCGGCTCTGCGTCCTCTATCCCTTCCGGCGTGATACATACCCTACTCAGCCCATCCGCCCTGTTTCGGAGCCCCGCAATCCGCTCGAACTTGTAGTCGAACTGCCATATGAAGCCTATCCATCTCCCGACGGTTGGGTCTATAGGCTTATAGTTCTTTAGTGCTCCGGCGACGTTGGTTGGGTCGATCCTCAGGATAAACCGCCTCCCAAACAGGTACGCTTGGAAGGTCTTAAGACAATGCAGGATCGCTAAGACCTCTTTCTTGAACTGTGAGTACCGCCGCTCTGCCGAATTCAAGGTTCTACTTTCAAATCTGATTGGCCTTTCCTTGCCTTCCTCGCTTTTCTGTATCAATACCCCTCCGACTGTCAGCGGTCCCCCATCTGTTTCTAAGATGAAGGGTCGTCCTACCTCATCRTTGAAACAGGGTGCTGTTAGGGTGACCTGATGGGAAGACAGGATGTCTTTAAGGGTCTGGGCTGCCGCTTCTCTATTCTCGGTCCATTCCATAGTGCCACCTTCTCTAATCATCACGCGGATAGGCTCCGCTATCTTTGCGAACCCTTTGATGAAGATCCTCCAGAACTCGACCACCCCTAGGAAGGCTCGTACTTTCGTCGTGGTGCGCAGGGGCRTCGGCCATTGAGAGATCTTATCAGTTTTTGCCGGGTCGGGTCTTCTCTCGTAAGCCCCACAGCGAAACCCCAATATGGTTACCTCCGGAACAGCCAGGATGCTCTTTGGTCCACTTGCGGTAATATTATAAACCAGAAACCGCTATAAGAGATCCTTGATATCCTGTAGGTGATCCCAAACAAACTTTCGCACGCCCGGCTCAACCTCTGTCTCATCCTTGTTTTGCATGCCCTTTATGGGGTTATTGTCTATATATGGCTTGCATTTCTCTGGGAACATATCTCCTGCTACAGCCAGCATTCTCCTTTGCGCCTCTGCCACCACATTCGCGAAACCCATAGGAGTCACTTGCATCTGCAACTGCCCTACTGGTGTGTGCATGGTGGTATACGGTCTATCCCTCGCGTCGAACGACAACTGGTCATATCCTGAGTATAGGTCTATCAGGGAGTAAATACTTCGTCTAGCATGGGATTCGACCAGCAAGTCCCAAACTCATAGGCAGACCGGTCGGTGACGTCTGTCGATATCCCAAACTCATAGGCAGACCCTTTATCATTCCAACACTCATGCTCTACTGTGTGGATCCTAACAGGGGGAATTAATTTCGCATCTAACCGTCCTTTCTGGTGATCATTGAAGGCAAAGGCTAGATGAAACTCTTGGTACGTCCTCCTTATCAACTGCGTTTCCTTTGTTGTTAAGAACCCTTCCACCCCTATTTTCATGGTTTCTGCTACTTCATCAGGTATCCGATGCTGTTCTGCTGCTCGCCCCTCCCTTATTACCCGCATGACCTACTCCTCCTTTTCCAAGGCCTCTTCGTTTGATGTCTCCACTAGGATAGAGACCGGCTTAACCTTCTTTCCTACGGGTTTGTACTTTCGCACACTACCTTCTGGGATTGTTCTCCTAAAAAATGAACGGTCGGGATTGGCCTGACTACCTCCATGATGCGGGGCTGGATGCTAACTATCTTTCCATTCAGGCAATAGCCCTTTTGGACCTCATCCTCGAACTTGGCAAGTGTTGCCAGGTCTACCCCAACTTTGTGATATCTAATAGCTTTGATAAGCTGTAGCAAGTCTGGGACTTCAAAGACTATTTCTGACATTTCCTTCTGGCTTTACTTCGCCTTGGGCAGGCTGACCCCAAGTTCAACTTTTGATTCTTTTTCTGCGACCATAACCACTAGGACCTCGTCCTCTTGCCTCCTTTTCAACAGAGGCAGGCCCATTTTGATCCACTCCTTTTTGCTGAAGGCCTCCTCAATCATGATTTCTACTCGCTCCCGCATACCTTCCATCCGTGCGAATGCCCCCTTTCTCGCACTCTCCTCGAATGTTGGCGACCAGGTTGCCAATTTGCCCTTTGGAGGGTCCCCTCCGGTCCCAAGAAGTCGGAGGAGTTCTCTGCGGCCGGTCACTGGGTCTTCTATGTCTACCATATATGTGCCGTCATGCAGATGTATTCCTATCATTTCTACATTGGAGCACCACGGTCTCCCGAGGATTATATCATGGTCCATTTCTTCCATCACGGTCATCCGCTGAAAGGACCAGATGGATTCCCGGATTCCCGCCTTGACTGCACATTTGGTGACATACCCTGTGAAAGGAATTTCACCAACGGCTCCCCGGATACTCCCTGCTACTTCAATGTTTACCGTGCACCCCGTGACCGTTGCAAAATCTCGTCGTATGAGGGTGATTTCCGCACTGCCGTCCACTAACGCGTCAGTGTGGTGAGTTCCGATTTGGACTTTAAATTTCCATACAGGTAATGCTTGGAAGCTACGCTTTGTCCCGAGTAGCGCCCTCATAACTTTGCCACCTTCTCGATCCGGTAGGCTTAGGCGGATGCCCGCAAAAACTTTCTCAAAGTCGTCCAGATCCCCGAAAATTCTTTGGAGTTTGGAGACGCCTTGGGGTGCCTCTGTCTCTTCCGTCTCCTGCTCTTGTGGTTTCAGGGCCTCCTCTACCTCTACGCGCTTACGCGTTAGCAACTGCCTGAGTCCTTTAAGCAGTCTTGGGCTAGCTTACAGCATGGTCTGAAAGGACACTGATACCATGATACCCAACAACTTACTCAGGGTGCCATCGATTTCAGGCGAAGTCAGGATTGGAATTTGATACCTGAACTTCTTCTTTGTCGCCGTAGCTTTGTCTACCGGTTCCTCCTCCCTTACTTTTCCATAGACGTTCTCTTGTTCCGCGGCTTCGATCTCTTGCTGGTCTGCGCTAGTCCCTGCGAGTTCTTCCATTAGTGTATCTTGAATAAGCTTCTCTTCCGCACCGGCCCGTCGGGTGGTGATGTTTACCCTGTCCTGCCCGTTGCCTTCTAAGATGAAATTGGCCTGTGGGCCGCGCCCCCTTGGTTAGTCCTAGACGATCTCGGCTACCGGCTCCGCTTCTACGACAGCTATCTTTAAGTTATTCAAGAGGATGACGGCTTGCCGCATTCCCCCTGGCGAGTTCCAATTTACATGCTCCCCCTGAGGTCCGAGAATCTCGCCTTTGAGGGACCTGCTGCACCTCTGCCGCTCAATATCGTGATTGAGCCTTGGGGAAGCCCTCACGAAGTGTCCAATCATTGTGCAGTACCTGCATCGTTCGTTGGCCAGATCCCTCCTGGCAAATCCCTGATTAGCTACGGCTGCCGGAACTACGGCCTCTTGGGGCGGGAGGGCGGGTCGAGACACCTGTGCCTGCATTACTAATAACACATTTTCCATTCTGTCCATCTTGCTGTCGACCCCGTGCACCCTTTCATGTAGGCTCTCTATTCCCTTCTTGACCTTATCCCCCGTCTTCTCGGTCAGGTCTATAACCTCTCCCTCCTTAAGCAGGGCTAGCGTATCGGTCACCACTGTCTTTTCTACGAGGTCTGTTACCGTGCTGAAGTCTACATCCCTAATGTACTTGAACTTGCTAGTCTGCTGGTAAGCTGACAGAATCTTATTTTTTTCGAACTCGGAGAACTGCTTAAGGAAGTACTTACTCATTATTCGATCCGTTACCCCAGGTATTCGCAGTGCCACTAGAGTGAAGGCCTTCAGAAAGTCATTGTAAGTAGCATAGTTTTTTCTTTGGACTGCCGCCAATTCAGCCTCTGTCGCCATTTTCTCCGCCTTCATGTACTTTCTCATCATCTCATTCCGGGTTTCCTTCCAGGATCCACTAGAGGAGACGATAGCCATAATGTCCCTTTCTAAGCTCAATGATACGTGCTGCCCTAGGTGGTCCATCTTTTCTACCTCGGTTCATTTCAGTAAGGCTGCCAGGTTCTCATAATCTATCCGGAATTCCGTGATGTTTCCCCCATCGAAAGTGAGTTTCTTCTTTGCGTCTGCGAGACACCCCTAATTCTTATTCAGCGCCAGGGTGAGGGTGGCTACTATCCTTTTAAGTCCCCCTTCAGAGCTACCCGCCTCACCAACTGCACTATTCCCCTCTCCTTCCCTGCCTTTCTTGTGCTTTTCCCCGGTTTTCAGTGTTACCTCCGGATCAAACCAGCCTAACACCCTCTCTCTAAGACTTCAGAGTCCATCGCATCCCTTTGTTGCTTTGGATGTGGCGGGCAGACGACTAGCGCCGCTATCGATAGGCGGCGGGGTCGTGGCCTTTTCTGCCTCTATAGCCGGGGACTCCCCCTTTTCCTTCCCCTTCTTTCTGGGTGCTCCCTTATGGCTGTTATCTTTTGCTCCGTACCTGGCTTCGCCCTGACTGGTCTTGCGTCCCTCTCGCGACCCTTCCCCCTGGGGATCCTCTCACTCCCAGCCATCATTTGTTAAATCAGTCTTGCCTTGTATTTTGCGGTCCGCCTTTCTATTTCTTCCAATTTGCGGCGTGTATCTGAGACTTTCGTTTTCTTGGGCGTGGTTCCTCCGGAGTTCCGAGGACTCCCCTTTTCGTCGTCCCTTCCTTTCCTATTCTCCTGCAGTCCTCTTTTGTTACCCCCAACTTTTTCTGAAATTTCCCCTGTGGAGAGGCCCTTCCCTTCTTCTCTGGTCCCTTCTGGCTTTGCTGATTCCTAATCCGACCCCTCGTTCTGTTCCTCGTCCCTATTCATACCCTGACTCCCTCTGCTCTACTGGTTGTCGCCCTGTTTTTGCGACGCCATTTCTTTACCTAGCCTGCACATAGAATTTTTTTTTTGCGAAAATGGTCGGTTGTTCATGGCTTCCCTAATTCCAGTCCTAAAACCCGGTTGTTTCCATGCCTTTTTCCGTCTCTCATAAGTCGGGACGACACTCCTGACTTTTCTTTCACAGGACATCATTTAGATTTTTCTCCGTCGGGGGACTTGCTACCGAATTCTGGCATTTTGTCGTTGCTCTGCCTCAGCTCTCGGGGCGGTGTCTGAGCCCAGTGGCTTTCCCCTTGAGGATAGCCCTTTCGGCTTTCTGACACCCAAATGCCCCGGCGTTCCTGGTGCCGGTGGTCTTCCTAGTTCCTTCCTGCCTCATCGTCAGGTAGGGCGGAACTCCAACCAGTGCCCCCCCCTTTGCCGATGGCTACCCTCTCATCATATTACCCATCCTTTATTTTTCCCATCTTCCTCCGGCGCCTTTTCTCATGCTAGTCCCTCAGGCCTGCCCTGTTCGTCCGGTTCCTCGAACAAGTCGGCCACCCCAGCAAGGTAATTTTCTCCCATCTCTATTTCCCTGATGATTATTGGCTCGTATTCCCCAAACGATAAGCGGGGCAATCCGAATATCAAGATTTCAATGAGTTCAAGCAATTCCCAGGCCTGATTCCCCCAAAACGACCCATGTCTAACTAACACATCATAGAACATGCCCGTTGTCTGCGGCCGGAAGTGGTGGATCCAGACCAGGGTCGAGTCCACCAGATCTTTTGCCCTTGGGAGACTGTTGAATACTAGGTCTACCATGAAGCGAGGCACTCGGCATCTCAACCCTGTCATTGGGGCCTTAAACTCCTGCCAACCTCCTACCTCCACCCGGGTTCTCAATCCCACATTCCTCCTTCCCCGCACTTCCTGGCCAACTCGGTTCAAAATCCTAGTAGCCCTCTGGAAGATTGGTAACAGCCCACGCCCAAGTGCCAACTCCGTTCCTAGCATGTACCATCCAAGCTTCGGTAGGTATACGGTCCCCGTCACCCTAAGATCCGTGTATAGATCATCCCCGGGTCCCCTATTAATCCTCATACCATCCCACAAACATTCCACCATCATGAACGCCTGGTCCCTTCCTAAGGTTACAGCTCTCCATCCCCTTCCTTGGCTCTTCTATCGGCCTGTTCCTACCTCCATCGGCTCATACAATCGATGTAGGTCGTTTACGTACGTCACCCCCCGACTTATTTCCCGTTGAACGACGCCCCACAGAACCTCACTGCCTACAACTGGAGCCCTTGATCTAGTGGTAAACACGACGTGCAAGATTCGCAGCACCTCATACTTCTGTTCTCCGCTGAACGGCCCTATTTTTAGAAAGGCCCGATAGTATTCTCGGTGTACCACCGTGCCTTCGTATGTCAAACTAGCGAGGTCGGCAACTGCCCGTCTGACAAGCTTCAGTCCGCCTAGCCTTTCCAGCAGAAAGGGCGACAGCCTCATCCGAATGTTTTCGCTAGGCAATTCAAAACTTCCGACCCTAGCTACCCTGAGGTCTGCCGTTACATCGTCAATTCCCGGATCTGCGAACTCAAATCCCGCCTCCCATACTAACTGCCATGCCCCTTCGAACATACTCAATGGATCTTCCCCTGATGCCAACAGAACCCCGAACTCGCGCCACCCATCCTCGGACACATACAATCGTCCGTCTGCACGCACATGCCCCCGCGGGTCCGGGTTCCACTCCCATGCTCATCCGCACACCACTCGACCCTCGTTACCAGGTAAACCATATTTTCCATAAGCTCAACCCCGACCCAATCCGCCACCGGGTGCCATCATTCGCTCACGGCCGGCAAACTAACTTCTATCCCTCCCTCTACTTCCCTAGGTGGCTCAATGCCTAGGGGGCAATATTCAAGAAACGTCCTCCTTCGTGCCATCGCGCGCTCGTCCTTGGTCTCCTAGCCCACAATTCGCACCGAACCCTACAGTGGCCAGACATTTCATTCCCTCGTCTTAGCAATTCCCCCATACTTGCCTGGCCCCACAGCCTTTTCTGCTCTTAGTCAAACCACAATACCTAGAACAGCTTAAACACATCATCTACATAGCAGGGTGTGGCGACTACCTCGCGGCGAACTATAGCCTCCCAGGTTTCCGGGGCCACTTCCATCCGGTCATTCCTTTCGATGTCCAAAATAATGAGGACCTCACAGGCTCTATCGCCATGGAACGGCCCATATTTCAGAGATGTTTTATAGAACTCTTCCGTTAGCCAAACGCAATTCACGTGCACCCGCCCCATAGTGCTGGCTACTTCCTCGACATGGTCAAAACCCCCAAACCACTCTGCTACGAACCCGGGTACCCAGGTCTTAATTCGTTGGCAGGGGGGCCTAAATTCATTCCACCCTCCCATCACGACTCTACTACTGACCACATCCCAGCCTTTGTTCGCAAACCTCTCGCCCGCCCGTCGAGCCGTTGCCTCAGCATCCCTTAGAAGCCTCCCTTGCAGAAGTTGCAGGAGGCTTCACCCCACACCGCTGTAGATTTTTTTCTGTTTTTTAAAGTTTTTTTAAATAATTCGGACCATTTCTTGATTCATGTGTGTCATCCTTGCGCAGTGGCCATGCTAATCTTCCTTCTGTGTATCGTTCCAATTTTCATGGATGTCCCGAAAGGCACACCAGTGTAGATTGTTAAATGTCCTCGGCAAAGAATAATCCAGCAAAGTGGATTATTCTAAGCCAAGAGAGCAAAACACCTCCCAACACTTTCATCAATAACAATAGCATCTCTGGGAACTCATATTCACATGCGGTAGAAAGCACGATATGCTCTTATTCAGACCCAGCTTAACGACTGACGTGACAGAAAGAATTCCCTGCTAGAACCAATAACTCACCCATGCACCAAAGGGCTGGGGGTAATTTTATTTTGAGATCAAGAAAATGAATGATGATGAGACTCCTGTGGACGCGACCAGCGCTACCCAGTACAGCACGCAGACTACCTTCGCCATGATTTCCTAGTCATTGTTAACGCATAGACTAGTACATCCTCATGCGTGCCCTTCACTTCCCTCTCCTTCCCCCTTCCGTCTCCGTCCATCCCCTGTGACACACACAAGGATGCATGTGCGCACGCACCATCACCCACACACACGCACATCAAACACGCACATGCACACCTGCACACACACAGACCCACACGCACACACACACACACACACACACACACACACACACACACACACAAGCACACGCACACATGCACAAGCACAAGCACAAGCACAAGCACACATGCACAAGCACACATGCACAGGCACACACACGTTCACACACACACACACATGCACAGGCATGTATACCCATGCATATGTACACACTGCTGTACACACTGCTGTACACATGCCCGCACACACGCCCACACTCACGTACACATGCACAGGCACACACACACACACACACACACACACATGCACATGCACATGCACAGGCACGTTCACACAAACACACGCGCAGGTATGCATAGCCATGCAGATGTACACACTGTGCCACACACACACAAAGGGACACAGATACAACCACACCCACAGATACAGCCACACAACCACACCCACAGATACACATGCGCAGGGTCACAGACACACACACACACACACACACACACACACACACAAACACAAAAGCAGTCTACAGGTGCACATGCTGCCCACCGACATCTAACACAAAAGCCAACTACAGCCTTTGCTAAGCAGACAACGAAATGCTTACTGGCAACCGACACACAAGGAGTGTGGACGAACAGAGCAGAGATCGAGGTAATAACCATTTGTGAAGCAACAAGGCTTATATTTCCCTACTGTGCAAATTTATACTCCCTCCCTGTTTGCAGATCCATACTTGTTGGGCTACTCGACCTTCATCCACTGCCTTCACAGGAAGCCCTGATTCCAGATATTGCTGTGTGCAAACACATGCCCCGTTTGGCGGCTGGATATAAGATCTACGCGCCATCCCAGCAGACAGCAGCTCCCAACTTGTTGCGGTAACATGTGCTGCTTTCTCTACTTCTGCTGGGTGATATGCGTACAAGTAGTCCCATATGCCCTTCTCCAAATCAAACCTTGTACCAACTGAATGAATGAATCTTTCTATTTGGCAATTCAGCCTACCTACCTACGCATTCGCTCTGACTCGACAGCCCGCAAAGTAACAACAACAATTTATCACATTGATGATTGAACAAGTTCTCAAGAAGAATGGTGATCTTGCCCCTAGGACAAGAATAGAAAGGGATGGATTTCACCAAACCAAGAATGCTGTATGCTCTAGGATAACCATCCCCCCTCAAACCACCAGTACTGCCAGCCATCGGCCGCGGGCCCCTTTCGGAGGTCGCCTGCCGTCGATTTATTTTTATCGACGGCAGGTGACGTGAGCCTCCGAAATTTTAGGAGAGCCTCCATCCGACTCTCAACTTGGCTGGGGCCATGCTCTGGGGGGTTTAACAGCAGCCCAAAAAAATAGCATGCTAGCTTTTTGAAGCCTGCAGACTCTACAGACAGTACTACACTGATGTTTTTACTACTTTTTACTAAGTTTTTAGGAAACTAACAACACCTTTGGATCTTTATGTTCTCCTGACTATGGCAGTCATCGGCTTTCAACTTATTTTCTCTTCAGTGATGGGAGGTGACAGGAGAGAGAAAGGGGGTGCGCTTAGGCTGTCACTGAACTGGGAAAAAGGGGGCTTCTCAAGGGGGCAGTTGAAGATAGGATTCGCCGGGAGGGACTAGTTTGCTCATGCAAAAGCTTGGAGTAGATAGCGAAGTCCGAACTTGCTTCGAAGTTTGGCCCAAGCTCCAAGAAGAACCGAAGAGCTGCTGCCAACATTCGCGGATCTCCGCCAGCTGCTGCCATGTCAAGAAATATGCCCGGAGGAAGGCCCTCCACCTGAGATACCATCAACAGATACAAGTGCGGACATACGCAGCATCAGACAGGCGGCCATGAACACAACACACTGCTACTCAAAGTCTCAAACACAGCATTCAGATTGCCAGGAAAAGCATCCACCTAGCAACAGAAGCACACAACAAAAAAGCCAAAAAAAAAGCACATGCCTGTCGGCCTAACCGGTTGAGAAAAGCTGGGCTGTAGGTTAAAAAATAAGCAAGATCACATGCCGTCGTTCATGGTTTCGGTTGAGGATTGTAAGGGAGCGAGTTCGACATTCCTCAAGGAGGTTTCCGAGGCCTGCTGTGACACACGATACTTAACACTTAGCCAGGAAAAAAAATTGGAAAACCGTAAACAAATGTGACCAGCACACACCTGCCTTGCGCAGCAATGTGGCTGAATGCAGTGAATAAATGGTACATACTACATAGGTATATAACTTCGAAGTTTGAATGAGGTTCAATAAACCGACGAGTGTGAGGCCGCATTGATTCAATAACGTTAGAGGGACTAACCCTCCCCCTTTCCCTTAGCTGTTGACAAAACCCAAGAAATGATGAAAACATTGAAAAGTGAGGGAAAATTTTCACTCCCTGTAAACCTCCAATTTCCATGGCCAAATAGCCAAATGGCCAATGCCATCCCTGGATTACATGCCAAGGAAGGCGAGATTAACCTAGCACCTGCTTCCCGTCAAACTGACCTCAAACATGGTATTATGATTCAGTGTGAACCTATGAAATTGCAATAAATCGCAGTTTTCCAGTGGGGCTGTACACTAAGTGTTTGGCTTTGTAGTTTGTTTTCTTGTTTGGAGCCTTGCGGGACTTGATCCCGTGACCTGTAACTCTTGTGTTTTGTTTGTCAGTGTTGTGCCCTATGGGACTTGATCCCGGAGTCTGTCACTAGTAGCCTCTGTTTGGTAGCCTTAGGCCATTCGACCTTTTCCTTTTGCCTTGTCATAGGTCTAGGTCCCCTTTTCCCCCTATTTCCATCTAGATGCAGATGAGTACCGGGTTGTTTCCTTTGGAGTCCGTCGTAGGTCTAGGCAGAGAGTAGAAGTAGCGGGCAGGAAATTTGGTCTGTGTTACGATCCTGGCCAATTTCGAAGTGTACATTCATCAGAAAGTACAATGCCGTCCAATTGCAAAAAGAAATGAATGAACTTGAGAGGAGAGAGAAGGAAAGAAGAAGAAGAAGTATGAAAGAAGAAGAAGATGATGTACTCCAGCATAGACTAATGACAAGGCTCTTCTTCTTCGCCAACCAATCTCGTCCTCCTTGTCTTCTCCCCTCTAATTCAAACAAGAAATAACAACAATAATGTTGAATGGTTGAACCAGAATCAATGTCCGAATCCCACTTCTACTGCAGGCACAACATGAGGTCCACCATAGCCATGGCCACCCTTCCTCTTCCTCTACATACACGCCGAGGCTATGACGGAGCACTGAGGGCTCTACCCTCCTGTCGAAAGGACAACCCAAAGCAGCTATGTCGCCACCCTTCTGTCCCAAGGTCAACACCATGCATGTTACATGCCCAGTTGGGCGATGTACATACAAACCGAGGATCCGCAATGTGATGAAAAGGACTGAATGGACAATGCAGTGCAAGTAGAATCTCAACAAGCAATGTGCATTCCGATACATACAAAATGGTGCTTTATAGCACAGGGAAGACTTAGATACAAGACCTGACCTGACCGAGACTGACCTCTATCACGTAGTATAAGATAGCGAAGCAGAGTGCTAGAATACTAATGACTAGTCCAATCAATGTTTCAACGCAGACCAAACATACATCATGCTCATCACAAGGTGAGAAGGGAGCCTAGCGCTATACACAGGGAAGAAGCGCCAGGTCCAGACATACACAGACGAAGAGGAGGGGATCAGACGAAGAGGAAGGGGGAGATGGGAAAGTCGTCAACACCAAGTCTCGTTACGAGTCCCAAATAATCCCTCTTCAAGATGTCTGAAGTCCAATGTCGAGTCTGGATCCAAATGTCACCAAGCTCTCTCTCTCTCTCTCTTAGTCTGCTGATGCAGTGAAGTCAGATAGCGAGAGGGTAAGAAGGAGATGGTGGACTGAGAAGAGGAAGAAGAAGAACCCTCTCTCTCTCTTGTATGCCAGGTACTAACCTGTGAAGATGGTGCTGTGCTGCAGGTACCTCGAAGACGAAGCTGGAGCAACGGCGCTGCAGGTAAGTATCCCTGGCCTCCGCCGAATCTCTCTCTCTCTAGTACTACTCTAGCTATGGCGCCCAGCGCTGAAGACTACAACTAACGCTACTAGCGCCCAGCGCTGAAGACTACTGCTAACGCTACCACTACTCCTGCAGCGCTCCTCCAGAGTGCTGCTGCCAAATCCTGAAGACTACTGACTGCCTCCTGCCTGCACGTGAAGTGCCTGGGAAGTACCTACGAACTACCTCCCAACTACCTGCAGCCTGCAGGGCGGGCCAGTCTTACATAGTGCTGGCCCATCCAGGAGGCTGCTCTGGCCAATGCCAAAACGTGCCAGACCCTGGGGTTGAAGCTCAAACAAAGGTTGTCTTGAAATAGGCCAAAAATGACCTGAGCTAAGACCCTGGTCTGGTGCCTGAGTTTCAGGGCAGGTTGAAACTGATGAGGGCCTGAAAATGGCCCTCAGTTTCAGGCTGAAAATACTCAGGGCCGGAAAGGCCCTGATTTAGCCTGAACCGACACAGGGCCTGTAGGCCCTTGTGTTTCAGGCTTTCAGGCTGACATGACACAGGGCCTGTAGGCCCTTGTTTTCAGGCTTTTAGGCTGAAAACGACACAGGGTCTGTAGGCCCTCGTTTTCAGGCTTTCAGGCTGAAAACGACACGGGCCTGAAAATGGCCCTGTTGCAGGCGCAGCATGTAACAATGCAGCTATGCCGCTGCCCACTCAACCACCATGACTGACTCTGCCGAGCTTCCTTGATGCGGCACTACCCCAACTGGGGCGTTCCAGATGCAGCGCCTACCAAGGTGATGAAGATGGTGTCCGCCATAGCCAGGTACGTACCTCGCCACTCTCCTCCTTGGTCCCCTTCTCCCTCCTCCTCCTACCGGTAGAGCTCCACCATAGCCAAGGTGGAAGCTCCCGGCTTCTTCCTCCCAGCAGCGCTGCAGTACCCAGCGCTACTCCAGCCAGTGCTCCAGCAGCGTGTCGCCAAACTTGCACACTGAAGAATGAGGCCGAGCTCTTGCCTCGGCCTCTTGATATAGCGGCCTGCTTGCCTCCTGGGCGGTGACTTCCAGGCCGCTCGGCCTCCCAAGCAACCAGTACCTCCTCCCTTTCGGAGGGGAACATCATTGCAGACTCTGATATTGCCTGCAACGACTTGCTGATTTTGACTGCCGAGACTGACTGCGAGGCTGTACAGTAACAGCAGTAGGTTAGAGTCGTAATTTTGTTTGGCTGAGGGCTAACCGAGAGACCTACCTGTGAGGCAAAATCGTGAGGGACATATCTGCAAATATGGGAAATATAGGCCCAGCACTATTTCGAATTTCCTACAGCTACCCTCACTGCGTATAGCAGACCCGGACTATCCCTAGGACGGACAGGCCCGAAGGGCCTATACCGATAGACTGTCCTAAAGCCTATAGCCGGGTATGGAGAGGCCTAGAGGCCGAAACTGAAACGGTACCGGTCGGTCCAGTCAGTCTGGTCTAGGTCTAGGCTAGGATAGTAGAGATCTATTAATAGTTTRGGAAAATCGATCCGGGACTTTTGGCTGTTCATTCTCGCGAAGCAGCGTTYGGAGAAGCCAAGCAAGTTGGCGGTGACGATTGTCTACAGGCGGCATCCTGAGACCCTCGCCGTGGACGGCAGCCATAGCTGGCCTTCAGAAGGTTGCCAAAGCTGGGGCATCCTCAGCGCATCTACCCCTGAGGGTATCTGCGCCTGGCAGGGCTATATCGAGGCTCTCCACTGAGTATTCATGGGTGGCGGCAGCCATAGCTACCTGTTTCTTCGTCAGAGTTGTTCACCGGCACCGAGGACTTCATCGCAGGATCTGTTCTTCATCTGGGTGGTTGGCGCTGGCCTCTGGGAGGCCATTTCGGTGTTGTGCTACTAACTGGGTGTAGGGTAGAGAGTGGAGTGTGGGGTTCTGAAAGCGGCGAGATACTGGAACAAACTCCGTAACGATATTAGGTTTTAATTGGCTCATCATCAGTGTGATTCCGATTGTTATCCTCGCAGGTTTCTTCTTGTGATTGGTTGTTGGGAGTCTGTCAGAGAGTGAGAAACCCAGGGTGTCTTCTCCCCATCTGTGCATGGTTGAACTTTCGCTGTCTACTCTGATCTGATCTGTGTACACTTTGGACTCTGTCTCCTCTCCCCCTTCTCTTATGCATGTATGGGCGTGTATGAGACTGTCTGTGTGTGAGTGGCGATAAAAATCGTCAGACAACCAAGTTCATAATGGTTGGTATTGGAGCGGGATTGGAATTGGAGCACTGAGGGTTGAGTGCAACTGAGGCATCTTCTTCATCTGGCGAACTACTAGCGAGAAGCTTCATGGCGATTCATCTTCTCCAGTACTGAGACAGCAAGGAAGAAGATTTCAAGCGGTTAATTCAGGAGTTTAGTGGTTGTACTGAACAAGCGCACTGAGCCTGTCAGGGCGCTTGCAAGGAAGTGGCGGGAACAGGGCTAATTCGCCATAGCCAACCCTGAGGGCAGTATTGGGAATTGCCTCAGAGTGGCGAATTGCCCCTGAGGATAGAATCCTTTGAGCGGCTTCATCCCTGAGCAGCGCTGAGGGAGATTGACAGTCTGTGTCAATCGCAGGTGGAATTAACCTCATCTGAGGCTAATTATAGCATCAGCGGCTGTGGGGTCCTGTGGCGAGATAATTTCTTGTTGGCACTCTGGGCGCCACAGGGTCAGATCCGGTGTATCTGACTAGCGGGGTTATAGCGCATCAGGATCCTGAAGAAGATCAACAAGTCGGAAGAGATTCTGTGAGTGGAAG